CTTTCTCTGGCCGGGCTGGTGGCCGCGCGCTTGGCGGTGTTTGCAGCTGTCGAGAAAAGAGGCCCCGTTTCAGTCCCTCTAGCCGTCTCCCCGTCCTCTCCTCAGCTCCAGAGCCGCCCTCCCCTTCTCGCTATCTCGCCCATCCAACCCCGGCCTCCCGCGGACCCCCGGAGTTTGCAGGGGCCCGGGTACCTCCTGCGACCCCCCTCTCCTTATCTGCTCTCTCTAGGAGTCTGGCCTCTCTTGCCTCCTTCACTTTTCTCCTTGGCCCTTGCAGCTTTGCCTCCTTCTTTCTAGACTGTCTTCCTTGCCTGCCCCTTCCTGCCTGTCCCCTGCACCCTCTCACCCTCGGAAACTTATCCTCCAACTCGGACGCCATTAAAGTCAGTTCTGAAATTTTAACTTTTCTGTGGGTCTCACTGAATAGCTTTATAATTCTCAGAATGTCGGTATGTGCACTGAATCCCAATCGATGTCACCAGTCACATTTCTAGATCAGAGTGAATGCTTGCATTCCCATAGCCTCATAAAGAATTCAGTTTTGCTTCTGCTCAGGTGTTACAGAAATTATACATGAATGGGTTTCATTTTATTAGTGATACTGGAAGCTTGTAACTGACCCTTCAGAAAAACAAATCATATCTATTTGATTATTAGGGAAAATAAGTGCAAAATGTTTTGTAGTTTATAGAAACACACATGCACAGAAACTTTTGTCCTTTTAGTTGTTAAACGCCTTTAACAGCTTACTTTAATTCAAAGATCTGTACTATATTCACATGCATTCATTTTAACCATGGTGCTTAGGTCAGAAAAACACGTGGACTGGCAATGGGTAGTAACTGGGGAGCAGCCTGTCTTGATAAAAAGTGTGGGTTTCTGTATTTTGCTGAGTTATATCCATCATTTTTGAGCACCACTGGAATTAGCTGAACAAGTGCTATAGTTTTGGTTCTCTTGTTAATTTAAGAAGCCATCAGAAATGCCTCACTTAAATGAAAAAAACACCATATTACCCTGTTTTCTTTTAAAAACTCATTGAGTTAGGCCTGCAAAGCACTTCACTTTTTTAAAGAAGACCTTTTATAGATCTCTAATTTAGGATGGTCATAGTTCCCCTGAGATTTTCTTAGGCCTTTGCTAACCAATCTTCTTCAGTCAAGACTGTCCATTGCTGCAGATCCTGGTTAACTAGATTCAGAAAAACAATTTAAAGAGATTTAAATATGTTACACTTAAATTTCTATAAAAATTTATCATGATGAAAGACCTTTTTTTACATTTCTTAGATCTTTAAATGTCTTCCAGGAAGTTGCTATATGGTATGTTGACTGCCACAGCCTTATGCAATCTATGTAATTTCACATTTTTCTTGAAAAAGGTACAAGAAGGAAATGCTGCACACACTATTACTTTATAGCAGTGGTTCTCAACCTTGGCTGCACATTAGAATCACCTGGGTATCTTTTTAAAATCCTGATTTCTGGGCCTCATCCTCCAGAAACTCTGTTTCTTTGTCACTAATGTTGTGGCCCCACCCCATAACAAAGAAACAGAATTTCCAGAGGATGAGGCCCAGAAATCAGGATTTTAAAAAAGATTCCTAGGTGATTCTAATGTGCAGCCAAGGTTGAGAACCACTGCTTTATGGGATAACAAAACAAGTGTTACACTTAAAATGGAAAACAAACAGAACTGTTCATCTAAGCCTTTCTGTATAAGATAAACCTATTTGCACTTATTCGTGGTTTGCACTGAATCTCACAATACTGGGAAACTCAGGAGTGTCACACATTCACATCAGTTCATGCCTCTGTGTTCAGAATTTCCCAGTAGAAACAATACCCTGGAATACTAAAGCAAATGCATAAATTTGTACCCTCGTTGTATTCATTTTATTCTACTAGCACTTTTATATATACACTAGAGGCCCGATGCATGAAATTCGTGCAAGGAGCTCGGCCCTTGCAGCCCTGGCTGCCTCGTGGCCCTGCCCACTGGTCTAATTAGCATATTAGCTCTTTATTATAAAGGCTGTACATAAATATGTACATATATACATATATGTCTCAGCACTATCTGACGTAATACTCAGTTTTTATAGCAAATATGTTGTAATATCTGCTTTGCTATTCTGAAATCAGAATTATAGATAATAATCCTACATATGTGCATAATTTTAAATATCTATAGTACCCTAACTGTATTATAAAGGAGAATTAAAAGAAAAATAATTATAATAAAATATTGGCATAAATAATGAAGTAGTCAGATGATCCAGCCTTACATAGAATTACTGTCAATGTAGTAGCTCCAAGTGCAAACTGATACAGACATGTCTTTGAAACTTAAATTGTGTGACTAGTCTAGTCATCAATGGTGTGATTTCCAAAATGCTTGATAAAGTTCCATGTAACACGAAGCATGCATGACCTTCCTTTAGATTTATATGATAGTTGCAATCCTGGAAAATCTGGTGTATATTAAAACTGTGAAAATATACTTTGTGATCTGAAGTTTTTCATCTACTAGAATAATAGATGCTTGGAGATTGCGGCAGCATTCTTCCCTCTGGGGGACTGTCTTGCATATTGCAGGACATCTGCATCTTGACTCTCATCACTAAATGCCAATGATGTCCTCGTCCTCTCCTTTTGGTGATGAATGGTCTGTACAATACTTCTGTACTGGTACTCAGCAGGCAGTATTGCCCCATGAGAACCACTCATCTAGATGTCCCTGTTACTGAATTTCAAGATTTACAGAAAGTAAAATCCCCAACTCATTTTTGTAGAATTTTGTTACCTCTGCTTTTGTAATAATGATGTGGGGAAAATGCTAATTATATTCTATATTTAACTTTTTTGAAAAAATATATTTTATTGATTTTTTACAGAGAGGAAGGGAGAGGAATAGAGAGTTAGAAACATCGATGAGAGAGAAACATCCATCAGCTGCCTCCTGCACGCCCCCTACTGGGGATGTGCCCACAGCCAAGGTACATGCCCTTGACCGGAATCGAACCTGGGACCCTTGAGTCCGCAGGCTGACGCTCTATCCACTGAGCCAAACCAGTTAGGGCAGTCTATATTTAACTTTTATAACCATTCTTCTAATATCCTGGAAGATTTTAATGATCTGTGTTACTACAAATGGGGAAACAAGCAAGTATAGATTATCTGAAAAAAATATATATAGTATTTATGTGTCATAAATAACCATTATTAATTAATGCCAGAACTTGTTTTCTAACTTGGTTCTTATTTAATGATATCTTTCTAAACATCTTCTTTTAAAGACAAATTTAGCCAAAGTGAAATTTATTTAATTTGAATTTCTGTCTTAAATTTTAATGCTAGACTTTTTTTAGTAACCAATTTTGATAAACAGCCTAAAAAGATTCTCTTTTGTTCTTATATTTCTCACATTTGCTCTTAAGGAAGTTATAAATTACAATATAACATTCTGGGCAGGAAATATGGGCAGAGAATACAGTATTTTGATTGCTCAAATATTCTGGTTTATAGGATCAATATGTGGTATACCAACTTTTAGAGAAAATTAAAATTACATTTTACAGTAATGTTCTTATTCTATTTCCAGTTGATTCAGAAGGCACTTGGTGACTCTCAGAGCTTCCAGAATCATGTTCACCAGTCATCATTGCACTGTTGCAGATGTAATGACTATAAGAAAGTCAGGATAACAGAATTAACGGAATAATTCTAAACAATGGATGTCTCAGCTCAAAAGAGTGTTGCTCACTTTACCTTCAGCCCCAACAGAACTGCAAATCAAAGGCCAATTCTTTTTTCCACTTTGGAGTTTTCTGTTTCCGTTTAGGCCCAGGGAAATGAGAAAAGTATTCATTTCAGGGCAGACAGAGATTGGAAAATCCTTAAATAGTAGTCAGTTTTACTTAAAGCCGGTTCTTTAAAAATTAACTATTTTATTGAATTGAGCAATTACATAATTAAAAAAATCAACCTCTATGATGATTCAACAGAATGTGGGTCGGGTAGTACTAGCTTAAAATATTGAAAATGAAAGAATGTCCAGTGAAAAGGTAGATGCTGTTGTCTTGTTCTAACTCTGTCTGCTCTGATGTAGTGTGTGTGCTAAGCTCAGCGAGTGTTGTTGGACTCATGGGCGTGGCTCTGGCAAGATTAGTGCAGTGGACTGCTGCTGGATATGGAACCAGAGCCCTGGAAATTACTCCTCTAAATGAAGCGATATTGAAAGAAATTATTATGTTTGCGGAGAGTTTTATCTATAAACATCCCCAAGAGGCAAAATATGTTTTTGTAGAACCACTTGAATGGAAGACAGATTTGCACCCCTCAACATTTGGATCAGGTTATGTTGTCAGGTAAGCCAGTTAATTGCTTCTAGAATTGAAGATCTTCATTGTACTTATTTTTATTGATTGATAGTGGGTTTTGGGCAAGTCATTTAACATCTGTTAATCGTAGAAATCTTCTAACCCAGGGATTCAGGTGAAATCTGAGGATATTTTGTTTGGCCAGCACACTAATTTTCAATTTGAATTTGAATTTCTTTTGATAAGGGAAGCATTCTCCAGGTCACCACACTCCCAACATTAGCTATTGTTTGTTGTCTGGCCTTTCCACTCACCCATATTACCTGCCAGACACCAGTAGGCATTGCTTTTGTGACCTCTGAGGTAGACATACCTTCTGGTATTTAAATCTATCAATTTCTGGGGTGGCAGAGGGAGAATGGAAAATTTTGCTCATTATAAGGGAGAGACTTCTTAACAATAAACATTGCCCTCAAATGAAAACCTTCCAAATCTGAGATTAAAAAAAGAAAATCCTACCTCCACTTTACCAATAAGGCAGTGGTTCTCAACCTTTCTGATGGTCTCCCGATGGAGGGGGAAGATTTGACATGCAGGTGCAAGGCGAGGAAGCGATCTCCCCTGCTCCATAGGGAGTG